GAACATTGAATTCAGCTACACTCAAGCCTCTGAACACCAGGAAACAAAGAGTTAATGTAACACAAACTTAAACTTCTGGAAATCAGCAATACAGAATTAAGGGACATGCCCCTCCTGCAATGGAACCTTAACTCTGCCCCTATTGGAGCTGGCGATAGACACTGGGAATGGTTGTGTAAGGGTGGTGCTGTGACAAGCAGACCTGAAGAATGGCAAAGAGAATATGCCATTGTTTGTGTTGTCTTCTGGAGATTTGAATTCCAGTATTTATCTGCATGCACTAGCTGCATTCATTGTATTAGGGTAGATGTACTGAATGGTGGAGGGATAAGATAGAGCAGCTTGGCAAAGCTATCACTGTGATGTAAGGAGAGGTGCACATATACCTTGAAGGATCCAGCATGCTTCATTTTAGTGCTGAATTCTGTCATTGTGTCAGTAATGGTGCACAATGGGTCTTCTTGCCATGGGGATTGTCAGCAGTCTGGTGGCATACATGACTGATTTCTAGGGCTTGGGGCTGGGGAAGTAAAAGCAATGTCTCTGAAGGACTCCTCAAGGTCTGGGTGAAGAGGTGGTAACATATTACAAGTCTGGGATGACTTGTGTGGAGTGGGTTCAGTTGCTCCTGTTTGCTATACCTGACCTAAACCTACATTTTGCCTTAGAATGTGAAGGTATTAGTCTTTGTCTGACAGTGCTAATCTGCTTTGTTCGCAGTGTTATGTAGTATCTGTAAGGGCAGAGTGCTCGTCTGTATATTATGGGTGTGTTGGGGTATCACTTGAAGAGGTCAGAGTTAAGGTTGTGTTGTGGGGGTGATGCGTCTTTCAACTCCATATTTCCTGGTTTTCAGAAGTTTGTTTGTTACCCTACTTCTCAGTTTCTTGTTTATAGAGGCTTGAGGGTAGCTGAACGCAGTGCCTTAACGCTGCATTGACAAAGTTTTGGGGGTAGTTGTAGGTTCTGTTTTCTGTGGCTGAACTGTTCATTGTTGGCTAAATAATTTTTAGGTAGTGGGTATTGGCTGTGCTGACACTTAATACTCTGCATTAGAGAAGTTGCTTTCAAGTGTTTGTAGTGTGATCTAAAACTGTCTAGCATTTGTACTGTCATAATTCACACATTGGTACCAGATTAGTTGAACATCTGTGATCTTAAGAGAATTCTTAGACATTTGCATTACACTCAAATAACACTTCCTTTTTGTATTTAGCTACATCTATTACTTGATAAAGAGCATTTAAGCAGTTGACATTGTCTATAACATAGAATAGTACAAACATCTAAAGTTACTGCAACATTTTAAAATATGCTTAAATGCATGACATTGGTGCTCTTGCATTCATTGCCTACTTCATAGAGCCCTCCCACCACTAACAGATGTTCGCAGACAGAAACTAACATTTAGATGAAGTTAAGGCTGAAAGTATATATTGTAAATATAGTATAGTTAAAGGTATAAAACATTACAGGGATGTTGTAATTATCCCCAAACCAAGCATTACAAATCCAAGAAATTCAGAATTAAGGTTAAAAGAAATCCAAACATTTCAAGGGTATGGAAATTCATAGTTAAGGAATCCAAACAAGCTTAACTCTGCTCTATAGTGATGCCATGTGATAATTACACAATTATGATTAGTGCATACTAGCATCTAGGTTCTAGATTAGATTATTGTTCTTTAAAGATGCTATTCCTCTCCCGCCCCACCACAACTCATTACCACTACAAGGCAGGGAAGGAGTGGAAGGGGCAGAGGGAAGCAAGTTTGTGGTGGTCCTCAGAGGAAGTCTTGGGGGAAGAGAGCTCTTAGGAAGACAAATACTACAGAAATGGAAGAACTGGGGTAGAGAGTTTAGTCCCTGAGTTAACACCTATGCTTTAAGGGCTTCTTGTGTGCTCCTGACTCAGCTCCCGTGGCAGTGCTGCTTTTGGTGTGCAGTGAGCCTTTCAAACACTGATGCCCAAGAGAGCTTGTGGCCACAAAACCTTTGAGGAGCAGTGACAGTCAATTGAGCTAAGCAGTGTAACAATGAGAACCCTTGACATGAGTCCATCTTCAGGCACTGACTCATTATAACCAACAGAATTGTAACATGCAAATTAGCTGTAGAGTTAAAGTGTAGATTGAGTTATTTCTACTGTCACCAGGGCTTCAGTTAGATCAAGTCAATGACCTAAGCTATTGGCCCTCTCCTTGATCATAGCTACTAGTTACAATACTCACTAATAACACGAGCTTTATTTTAAGTGAATTTTTTTAATGTACCCTGTGCATGAGATTTCAGTGAGTTAATTATCTGGAAAGTTTGAAAAGTCTTAGTTCTGTACTGAGATTATTCAAAACATAAAAAGATATGACACAGTGCTACATTTCAAAAGGACCCATTTTAAAACTAACAACTAGATTTAGATGTAAATTCTCAGAAAATTCTGTATGCAGCATAAGTGCTGCAATTTGGGGGAGGATATGCCATATTCTTCATACACAATATGGAGGCGGAATCCCTTCTTTAAGTACAGAACCTCAACTTACCCACACTCCATAATGAAGGGACCAGACCTGGGCCAGGTCTCGCTTATTTGGCAGATTAGTTTAAAGAATCCCCCCATTGCTACTTAAGGTTTTTAGTGTGTTTTAATGAGACATCTGAAATCTCAGTTAATAAACAAAACTGTTTTTAAATCAAGGACTCTCAGCTTGACAAAATAAAACCGCATATTAGAGCAGGTGCAGAGAATAATGTATATAACAGAGTAGCTTCTGTAGGGGTGGTGGTGTGTTAACCACAACGCTGCTTGCGATTTACCTAGCACAGGGGTCGGCAACCTCTGGCACACGGCTCGCCAGGGTAGGCACCCTGGCGGGCCGGACCAGTTTGTTTACTTATCGCCTCTGCAGGTTCGGCCGATCGTGGGTCCCACTGGCCGCGGTTCGCCACTCCAGGCCAATGGGAGCTGCTGGAAGTGGCGCAGGCCGAGGGACATGCTGCAAGCGGCGCGGCCCGAGGGACGTGGTGGAAGCGGCGCGGCCCGAGGGACGTACTGGCCGCGGCTCCCCGCTGCCCCCATTGGCCTGGAGCAGCGAACCGCAGCCAGTGGGAGCCGTGATTGGCTGAACCTGCGGAGGCGGCAGGTAAACTGGTCCGGCCCACCAGGGTGCTTACCTTGGCGAGCCGCGTGCCAGAGGGTGCCGACCCCTGACCTAGCACTTGCCCTTTTCAAAATGCCTTAGGACAGTGGTTTTCAACCTGTGAGCCACAGACCCCAGAGGGACCGCAGACTATGTCTAAGATTTGCCATCATTTGAAAATTTTTAAGGGCCTGCAAATGAAAAAAAGGTTGAAAAGCACTGCTTTAGGTTAGGACCTTGAACCAAACAGCCCCCCATTTGGGGTAGGTGAGTATCATCATCATCGCCCCCAGTTTACAGATGAGGAGATTGAGTCCCAGCTCGGTGATGCCGGGGGAAGGGCAGACAGATGCAGAGCTGGAAATGGAGCCAGTCCTAGCTCCCAGCCACCACAGGTGCTGCAACCAATGGGAAAATGCCAGGGCCAGTATGGTGGGGTCCCCTTACTCTAGCCCTCAAAGGGGCTCGCACCAGGTGGCGCCCCAGCTTCCCCCCCCGTGGAGACACCCCTGCTCGGTGCACTGGCCCTGGCGTGCAGAGCCGGGGGCCAGCCCCGAGCGCGCTGCGTGCGCTAGCGGGACCAGCCCGCGGTGCGTGCGCAGGGGCCCGGCGGCGACGGGAGCAGTTTGAAATTCGCTCCCTCGCGCGGGGCCGCCTGGCTCCGGCCGTGCCGCAGCAGATTGGCCCTCGCCGGCTCATTTGCATTGACGCCAATAAAGGCTGGAGGTCACCGCTCGCGGGTACTTGTATTGGCTCCGCCGCGCCGCCGCGGCTGTCAAACACCGGGGCAGAATTGCAAGGGGAAGCCTCGCAAGCGGGCAGCTTTGGAGGGCGGGGGGGGGGCGGGAAGGGGGGGCGGGGGGGGATTGCTGCTGAGCCGCATCAATAAGAACAGCATCCACAGGCACGGAGCAAGCAAAGGAGACGCCGAGGAGAGGCATTCCTCCTGCCCAGCCTCAGCTGCAGGGAGAGCAAATGCCTGGGAATTAAACCTCTCGCCATTTTAATGCATACCACGGAGATGGGACTCTAGGATAATTTTTTTTTTTTTAATGTGTGTGCAACGTTTTGCATCTTTTCTGTGACCACAAAACATGGAGGAGGCCCTTTGATGCCTCCGCCCGCGGAGTCGGCTCCTCTTCTGGATCTCAGCAGCCCCCCTCTGAGTTATGCAGTATTTTGGGTAGGGTTGCTCGTATTGTTGCCCACCCCCACCTTCCCCGATTCAACCTCTGAGCTTGCTCCCCCCCCCCCCCCCCGTGCCTCCCACCCAGCCGCCCCTTGCCAGGCTGGTGCAGTGCCGCCGGGAGCTCCGGCTGGCTCGCCCCGCGGCGGGAGCTGTGCCCGCGGCATGGAATGTTCTGCTGGATAGAACCCCCCTGTTTCCGAAGGGGGGAATCTTCCTTCCGAAGCCCTTGCCAAGAGGAGGCTAGCCTGTGAATGTCAATAGCCAGCCTGCGCGGCGGCGGCGGCGGCTGTTGGGAAGGAGGAGGACGGAGAGGAACATGAATCGGACGGGAGCGTGATCGAGGAACACCCTCTAGCTCAGGAGGGGAGGGGGGGTTTGATTCCCCCCCCTCCAAAAAAAAGAGAGAGCGAGCGAGGCAAGGCAACGAACAGGATCGGTTCTTGAGCTTGGTGAGCGGGATAAATCGACACGCAGCGCCTGGTGGGGGCTGTGGGAGACCAGGTGTGTGGGGGGAGAATCCCCCCCCCTCCTCCCGGCCCCAAGGTTAATTTGTAACCCTTTGCAAAGCCTAGTGGAAAATATTCGGTTCTGTGGGCTAGTGCTGAGAGGGAAATGTTCCAATGTTCAGGGCTCTGAGCGCTTAGTCCAAGGAGACGCTGGTGTGGCTGCCCCCCCCCCCTTTCCCCGGGCTGACAGAAAATCCTACCGCGATTTTGAGATGGCTTCGTTTGAAAGAGAGAACCGGTGAAAGCATGAACTCGGCCAGTTCTTGAACCCCCTCCCCGCCCCGCTGCTGAGCTTGAGCTCCAAGGAGCCCGGTTTCCTGGAGGAGGAAGAGAACACACGTTTCTGGGGGTGTAGAAAGGACCGATGACAATGCTCCCGAGCGTAGCGGAGAAGCAGGAAGGAGATTCAACCTGTTAACAAACAAACAAAAAAATTATAATAATAATCAAAGGGAAAAGACCCACTGGAAGGAGAAAACAAATTAGAAATAGTCCCAAAGTGGTCACAAAGCATGGGCTGTGCTCCAAGCATCCACATCTCTGACAGCAGGGTGGTTTATCACAGTAGCAAAGAGTCCGAGGAGTCCAATTCCCCTCACCAGACCAACACAACCATGTCTCAGCAACAGCAAGGCAACTCCGTCCCGGGATTATTCATTAAATCCTCCAACACATCCACTTATAAGGTGAGGACTAATTCCTCTAAGAAAGACAAGAGGGAGAACAGCCAGAGCATGGAGCCAGACACCCAGACCAGCAGATCCAGCTTGAAGGTAAAAAGAGTGCTAAACATACAAGCACTGTTTCTCTCAGAACAGGAGTTGGCTCCAGTGATTTGACCCAAGGAGGCTATCTGAGTAATAGATTGTGGGAAAGCTTTAATGGCTTGAGCAATTAGTTAGTTTATAAACTAATCAGTCTCATGAAACTACTGTGTCGATATTCCCAAACCTGTTTCTTTATTCCATGGGAAGAGTTTTTTGGTGTAGTGAAAAAGGAGAGCTGTTTAAATGTCCTTGTCAATCATTAGAGCAAGGCAAGCAGATAGGCCTCTGCATTCAGTCTATGGTGGGACACAGCTTGTGTGAGCCTGCGCTGCAACTAACATGTATTTACATCTGTTGTTATTGACTTATCAAATATTGCTCTTTGTGCTTGTCTTTTTGGGTGCAAAATACCAATGCCATATAAAACTGTCTGGTAGATGGGCTGGTCACTTTAAACCCTTTCTTCCCATCAGAAAGCTGGAACAAGAGTGACAGGAATTTTTGGATAGGGTTCTGATTTACATTTACCACTTGTTGACTTTGCTTGCTTTTCTAGACAAGGTATTTTGTAGAGTATTAGTGTGTGTATACTTACATATAGCATAATCCCAATGTGCCTCACAGAAAGGCACATACTGAAAAAATAAAGAAATTGTGATTTTTAAAAAAGGTAAAATAAGTTAGGAGAACTGAAGAATTGCATTTATATTTACTTTCTGTGAGTGGCATATATTTATTAAGTTGCTAATATAGTTTTTGTGGTTGAGTGTTTTCACTGTTTTTTGTAGAAATAAATAAGTACAAATGAAAAGACAAGTTATGGATGCACAGGAGCTATTATATAACATGGCTGATCCCTGGCTTACCGTGATATCTGTTAAGAGATACACATGCCGTAAATATAAGATATAGGTATGACATACAGGAAGGAACTAACAAAAGGTCACAACATTTTGCAGCTTACAATACCTATAATAATTTGTACAGTTTTCTGAACCTTTTACAATCTATATTAAGAATGTGTCTACGTTATTGATCGTGAACTACAGCAAATTGTTTCTGTGGTGTGGGTGATTCTCTTAAATTACTTTCCCCGAAATAGAACAATGTCACTTCATAGAGTTGAAAAAATGTGGGATGCAAGAAGAAACTATATAGGTAATAGGATGAATAACTAGAGCAATTATTTGCCAAATTAACATTTTTATTTATGTTCTAAATAAGACACAAGGAACTGAGCTATAAGGCTGCATACACACCAAGGCATGCTGATGAAATAATGGAAACTACAATAAAGAAATACAGGTTATTTATGTTGTCATCAGAACTCTGAGTTTTGTTTGGGTAGCTTTTATTTATTTTTTCTGATTTTCAAGTATATGCTTGAAGGATCTCACAGCATTTTAAACAAGAAAATCATATAATATTCACATTAAAGATGCCTTAGTCTTCTATGTGTTTACTCTGTTAAATAATATTGTCAGAGAATGCAGGGAAGAAGAAAACAGTTTTTTTGTTTGTTTTCAAGATGCTTGTGAATATATTGCTTGTTAGTGGGACGGGAACATCAGAGGTAACTCAGCTAGACATGCAGTTGATCTTAGTTCACAGTCATACTCCAATCTTGTTGAATTGTCTAGGTTTTTTCCACAAAAAGTCGTATTTCATAGCTGTGATGGTAGGTTCCCACTGACAACACTGCTGCAAAATGATTGTTTTTCCTTAATGGGAGTGGTTTTTTTGCAAGATCAATTTAATACTAAATGTGATTCCACCTCTCCACCTCCTGACTTTCTTGTTTAAAATCCTGTGCTATCCTTCAGATATGTTAAACAGCATAGAACTGTACTTTCTCTGCTGTTATTATTAGCCTGTATATTATCACATTTACTATCCTTGCTATATTAGTTTACAACTATGTTGTCACTGAAATTGTATTGTGTGTGAAACTGAATTGTACTATTGCTGTGTCACCTACTCTCAGTGATACAGTAAAGTTCTTTTACAAAGAAACGGAGCACAGGAAAATTGAGACATTGAAGCCAGTGGGAGGTTGGGAGCAGGATTTGGTGCAAGGTCATACAATCATACAGCTTTGAAGTTAGTAGGACTCTGGCCTGATGAGGAACTGTGGGAATGAGCATGGTACCACAAACCATTAAACATTTGCAAAGGGCTGAGAACCTTCTCTGAAGTACTTGGACACCTTCAGTGGCACTCAGCACTGTGCAGAACATGGTCAGCACCTCATGAGGTTGAGCCAATGATTATCATGTGATACGGTAGTTGGAACGCCTCTGATTTGTGTGTATAGCACAATTACCTGTCTGAGTGACGTTTTTTCTCTGTCTCTCAGCAATATTCACACCTGGGCCAGACTCTCCTCTGTTACATATGGAAGTCAGGAAAGTCACAGTTATACATAAGAACAAAATTTGGCCCACTGTGTGTGCATCATCTGTTTTCACTAGCGTTTATAGAAACATTTATGATGATGTAATCCCTTTCCTTGGACCAGTATATTGGTTATAATACATAAGATTTTCAAGTCAAAAAGCACCATACAAAAAAAACAACCAAATCCAAGCTGTAAAAGAAGTCTCTCTCTCTCTCTCTCTCTCTCTCTGTCCCCCCTGCTAACTGATACTGAGATTTATTCTATATCTATTCTAGAGTGTTGTCCGATATCCATTATGATCGGATGGCAGGGAATCACTAAATGTGAAATGTCTTCCCACTGTATTTTGTGATTCCCATCATCCATGAAATATGGCTACAAAGATTAACATTTCTTTCTTAATAAGGAAAAAAATCAAACCTTTTCCAAAGTAATCTTGCAGAATAGTTTGTGTAGTGTATGTAGGCATACATGTATGTAGCAATATCTATATCTGGCATATATGGTTGTGGTGATATCCATGTAATAAGCCAAGAAATCATATCATAAATGGCATTTGGTGGCCTCACTTGTCCCCATTAATCAAGACTCCCATGAGATGTTCTAACACTGCTAATCTCTGAGCAGCTTCAAATAAATGTCACATCTTAAAAAAATGAACCTGCCACAAAAATGTTTCCTTTTTGCCCCCCAAATACAGAATTTTCAATCCAAAATTACATTGGTCTGTAGGCAGGCTCTGCAATATTTAGCCCTGGAACAGTGGCAAGTTTAAGGTCTGATTATCACACAACCCATCCAAACTAGCAAATGGAACTTTATAGAATACTATTGGAAAGCACAAATTCCAAGGGTACCAATGGGATAGCACTTGCTTTTAGCCCCAAAAGGTCCCAAGATGTTAGGTTTTAAGGGGGAAGGGATAGCTCAGTGGTTTGAGCATTGGCCTGCTAAACCTAGGGTTGTAAGTTCAGTCCTGGAGGGGGCCACTTAGGGATCTGGGGCAAAAATCAGTACTTGGTCCTGCTAGTGAAGGCAGGGGTCTGGACTCAATGGCCCTTCAGGGTCCTTTCCAGTTCTATGAGATAGGTATATCCCCATAATTTATTTATTTTATTATAATTTAAGGCTGTGATACTTATACGTACATTTTAAATGTACCAATTGTATTTTTTTCTCTTCCTCAGAAGTTTATATAATTGGACTCATGGTACTAAAATACCTGGCTTTACAGAAAGGAGGATTTTTTAAAAATCCATATGTTTAAAAAAAACCCTCTCTAAAACATTGTTAATATATTTGCTCAGTTAAAAATGTGGCATAAGCAGAGCAAATGTTGATATGGTGTAAATGTTTAATTGGCACTTGTGTAGAATGACTTGCATAGCTTGCTCATGGCATTGCTCTTTGTGAGCAATATGCTGTCCCAACATTATGTCAATGAACCCTTGTACTTCACCATGCTCTCATGCATTCACTCTGTATTTCATGCCACAGTTAATTTACTTGTGTAATATTTTCTTTTTCTTGTATGGCTCTTCTTGACAAGGTGTATTTTCAACAATATACACACACCAAGGGGTGTGTTTGGAGAGTGGGCAGTAAACCAAAGGCTCTGACATTTTAAGGTAGAAGCAGGTCACGTTGTAAAAGGCTGTTTGATTTATCTGCTGGTTGGGGACTAACAGATGAAATCCAAGGCTTTAGAAACAGTAAGCATTCTTAGTTCAAAACCTGTTGAACTGTCCTTTCCTGGGTAGTTTAACAAACATGAAATAACATCTATAATAGTCCATTAATTAATGGCTCTGTAATACTACAATGTACACTGACTTTCTCATTTAATCAGATATAATTTGTATGTATTTAATCACATATGGAGACTACCATGCTCTGCTGCTCCTGCCCGGCTTGGGCTGGGCATTCCCTCCCCTGGGAACACATGGTGGGCTCTCCCTCTCTTTGAAACACCCACATGTAGTGTCCCCACTCCCACTGAGGCCATCCAACTCTCTTCTGATTCCTCTCTGCTCCTTCCAAAGCCAGTTCTCAATCATTCCCATGACAACCCTCCTCACCGTCATTTCCCTCCCACTTTCACTGACATCAGCCCTCCTGTATAGAGATCCTTGCTCCCACTGAGATGATCCTTCCCACGCTGAGACACTCTAACCTTTCTCGCTCCCTGCGGCTGCCAGACTCCCAGGCTGCCTTTTGATTCTGTTGTTGCAAAGGACAAACCCTTTCTTTGCCCGTGGACTGTGGATTCCTTTTGAGTTGATATGAAGCAAACTTAAATAACTAGGCCTTTGATGCGATGAGAAGTATGTTCAATTTTACTTCAGCCTTGCATGCTGAAATCAAAGTGTTTCTTTAGATTGCTATGATTTGATTTGATTTTGGTTTGAATAGAAGGTACAAGAGCACCAATTCAAAGAGCAGTCCTGAGGCCACTCACAATGTATAAATTGCTCTGCAGGGAGCTCTTTTTTTTTAATCATTCAGACTAGCCAATGGAACTACTACTCCCAATCCTTGCATAGGTCCCAGTCCTGCTCTTGCTGAAGTCAGTAGGAGTTTGACATAGAATAGGAACATACAAGACTTG